AGAAAGAAAGAAAGAAAGAAAGAAAGAAAGAAAGAAAGAAAGAAAGAGAAAAGGAAAGAAGGAAGGAAGGAAAGGAAGGAAGGGAAGAAGGAAGAAATGAAAGCTTTGGGAATTATAAGCTATAGAGAATGACATATCTCATTTGCTTGAGAAAACTCTTGAGTGAAGTTCAGAGTGCAGTTAGATAGCAACTTCCCAGAGACCACCTCAGACACAGTCTGGCGCTTGCTCAGTATAGGTGGACTATCACTATTTCTGTTTTTCTCACCATTTTTACACTTCCATGTCAATCCTTTTGTTTTCTTTTCTTTGTTAAAAAAACATTTTCAATTAAGATTTCTAATTAGATCCCAAATTTGAAATGCGTCTCTAGTTGGAAGCAAATGACAAGAGGAATAGCTAAAAGGCAGCTGCATCTTGTCCTTCTGGGATGAAACAGAACTTTGGGCAACTATTTGTGATTTTCTTCTTTTTAAATAATAATCAATTTAATCGAATGATGTTGACTTCATCTATAAAAGCCCATGACCTTTCTCACACAAGTGCTAAACTTCCTTTTCGTAAAGTGTAAATGAACTCTAGATCTCAGAGTTCTTGGGACTCCTAGCAGCCCAGGTAGGAAATCCCACCTCGAGGATTCCAGCATTCTTTAGCATACTGCACTAAGCATCAGCCTTGCTCTTTGACCCCCACTGCAAGAGGGTTGCTTGATCAGGGAGGGAGTGTTTAAATTATGAGAATTTTAAAAAATCAACAATAAGCATTTTTGGTGGAAAGGAATGAGTCAGATTAGTTGATATGCAAACAGTATCTTTGTGGTTTTCCTGTGGTGCTTTGACTTTAAAAGTCAACATTGTTAATGCTGACATTAAAATTTTATTTATTAAGCTCTTGTTTAGAAATACTTAATGCTACCTCAGGCTAAGCCTTCACTTTCAAATATACTGAGTTCTTGAAAAAGCTAGCAACATAATCTAGGTCAAGAAAAATCCTGTGCTGGATGAAGCTAAACCACCGAGGGAAGCAGATATCCTGGCTTGAATTATCTGGATCTTAGGAATCTACCTGAGCTGGTTTAAAATACACACACATGAAATAGGCCTCATTACCTAAAGGTACGCTAGGCTCAGGTATAAAGGACAATCATAAACAGGTCCCAAGATAATACTCTGCAACCACTCACACTACAATACAATAAACAGCTTTGGGAACTATTAAGATAAATACAAACAATAAATACAATTATATATTCATGCATATGTCTGCATATGTGTACATGCAGATGTGTGTGTGTATGTGTGAATTTTGCTTTTTGCATAATGCTCGTCTGTGCTCAAAGCACCTGTGAATTTCAGTCTTCAGACAATTCAAAACTCTTTTTTTTTTTTACCTAATCATGCAATAAAGAGTGTTACAGGGAAGTAATATTTGAAGGAATGAACACGGTGACCACTTCTCTGCACAGCAGTGACCCATTTTCACTGTACTTCCCCAGGAGGTGACAAACAAAGCCTGGGGAAAAGGGATAGGATTGAAGGCAGGAAATCAAGAGAAAACACATGGGCAGGGAACTGGCAAAGCACAAGGTAAACTGACCAAAGCAAACTGGTCCAAAGACAGCTAATGATAGAGACTAAAGCCTGTAATGCCAGGGTAGTTGTCCTGTTCATCATAGACTTCTCTCAAGTTTGTCTCCACCTGTGTGACCCTACTGATGTCACACTATCCACTGTGTCTCCACCCATGTGACCCTGATGATGTCACACTATCCATTGACTGTCTGCACCCATGTGACCCTGCTGACATCACACTATCCATTGACTGTCTCCACCCGTGTGACCCTGATGATGTCACACTATCCACTGTCTGTCTCCACCTGTGTGACCCTGATGATGTCACACTATCCACTGTCTATCTCCACCCATGTGACCCTGATGATGTCACACTATCCACTGTCTGTCACCACCCATGTGATCCTGCTGATATCACACAACCCATTCCATTTTTTCTACCTTCTATCTTAGTCTTTTCCTTCCTGTGCCCTCTTTCTTTCCTTCCCCCTTCCTTTCTTCCTCTCTGTCTCTCTCTCCTTTTCCTCCTCTTCCTCTTACTCCTCCTCTTCTTCCTCCTTTAATGCTTATTTAGTGTTTCTCAATCAGCCTGAGGATCTTTATTCTCACTCCTCAGGTCTTAATTGAAAGAATACACAGGAAGATACATAGTATTTATGTAAACTTAGTAGATTCTTCCATTCTCTCTCAATGTTTTGCCATATTGAACTCTGTATTTTTCCTAAATAGCATTTATCATAAACTTTCCTCATGTATGGATATTTTTTTTAAGTCAAGTTTCTCTTAGTGACCTTCAAGTCCTGGGAAGGCAAGAAAGGACATGTCTATGCTGTTTAGTCATGTAAAGCCTTTCAGAGGTCACTTCCTAATGGGTAATGATAGTTTGTTAATTTTTGCATTTCTGTTTATATCCAGTATACCTGAAGCCCCCAAATATAACTTAATATTAGGAAAGCATTTAATTTATCTTCAGAATCAGCTCAACTACCTTTCAATATGCACTCACACCTATCTAGGTCCTCAAATAGCAGAACTATAAAATAGTTTGTTAATAAAGAAATAATATGCTTGCATAGTTATCAGTGTAACGAATGGATGAAGAATGACTCCTCTACCTGATATATGTTGTCCTGCTCAACAGCTTGGATCTGTGCTCATTGTTTCTCTGGTTTTATGGCTCTGTAAAGTACAAAGGAACAAACTTTTAGAATTTTGTTTTATGTACATACAAATAATACCTTAACAAAATACCCACAAATATTTCAAATACATCATTTGATATGCTTTCAATGAATAACATTACAAATATAGGGGACTTATTAACACACTGTACACAGAATGCTATTTACTTCTAGTTAAAGTTAATACACCCCTTGCAGTCAGAAAGTTCACTAGAAGAATTGCCATTGCCCCTTATTTCTTATTCACATGTGCCTAGCTCTCTTCTTTGCCAGACACTGCTCTAAGTTATATAGACTAACTTTCATTACTCATAGCCAAGGGTCAACATGAGGTCAACTCAGTACTCTGCATTACCCAAACACAACATATTCCAAGAAAGCCCACCTCAGGACTAGCCTTTAGTTATCTGCTGGGTGATTACCTCTGAATTCTTGAAACAGTCTGATAACAGTGTTTGGTTTTTCAGACCTTAGTGTCATTTATTCTTAGGGCCATATCTCCTCTTATAGTATTGTCTCCTCCTCAGTTTTAGAATCCTTTGCCAATTTTCCTCTTCCCCCATCCACAATATCTGTGTCCACCTTTTCCCCCCTTTATAGCTTCTCCCCTCATATTGTAGTTGCTTTTAAGTTGTCTGGTTTCTGTAGTTATTCTAGGTTATACACATAAAAGCCATAAGAATAGTATTGTTTTGTCTTTACATCAAATGACATAATATATCATGTGTTTGTATAGGTGTATGTGCATAAAGTCACTACTACTGCACTTGGTTGCTTCCCAGAACTTGAAAGTGAATCTCTATTGCTGAAGATACCACATATTTTGGACACCGATCTTGAGGGAATCTAGTTGAATGCAACCCATAAGCCTCTTAAGAGATCTCCTTTGTGTGTGATGGATTCAACAATGTTATGAAGGTAAGTGTAAGTGCTAGAAATGTTCACAGCAAGAAATTAGACAAAATTTATAACTTGAGAAAATATAACCAACCAATCGGTCACCAAGTAGATGCAGAACAAAATGCAATGCACCAGTTACAGAGAAATGCGGTATGCTTGGTTTGCTAAGTGTTTATTCAGCTAGAAGCTGCTGCAAAAGATACTTTGGCCTAATGATTATTATGTGTCAATGATGGTAGCTTCATCCTAACTTGAACAAACCATAAGTTATCCATAATTTCAAGTCTACCCAAATTAACACTGTGCCCCTTGTAAATATTGCATATGGTCAGGCCCTGTCCTGAATATCATTACATTTAAAAGATGAGTCTATGTATACAAATAAAGTATGATGGTTCAGAGGTAAACACATCCTCATGGGATGTATAGTGTCCCAACAAGTCCTTAGATGCAGAGAGACCAGCTGTGTTATATGAGTCTGAATCTTTCGGGCTCAATTTGCTCCCATTGTGGTGCTATTCAACATGTTCAGTTTCTATCGTCATTTGCTCTAATTTCCTGCAGGCCATAGACCCCTTAAATAAACACCCCAGTGGAGTTAGTGCACACAGTAAACCTCATTTAACACTTATCATTACCTTCTAAATAAGCTACCAGATGGGAAAATTTCATTAATTAGAACATCAAAGTTTTCTTTAAAACAAACAACAAAATTCTATTATAAGCGACTTCTGGGCCTTAGGCTGGATTGCACATTATCATTTATGATTAGGATGTGGCATGTTCAAACTGGATGAAATGGTTCCATCTGGGATCTATTTCCCATTATAGCAGTCGGTGGATTCTTTGGTCTCTGTATCCATTCCTTCTGTGGTCCTGACTGGCTGTCCATCACGTCCAGCCTCCCGTTCCACTGTAGAGTTACGTGGATCAACTTAGCGGCAGCTCTGCTTAGGACTGCAGTCTTTGTCGTGCTGCCCTATGGAAGACACTTGGGTTTCAAATGCTTTATGTTGACCTGAGACAAGAGCCTCCCTTCCCAGTAAAAGGTTTTAGGGTACACTAACACCAGAAGCTGAGAAGGGTTGAGTTGAGAAGTGATCAGCAGCCCAGGAGAGAACATGTTAGGTGACTCAGGGGATCTTGAAGTACAGAGGTCTTCCAGTGACATCCCAAAATAAAACCTCTCTTTCCTACAGGTACTGGCATTTCTGGATCTGCTTCACATGACATCTATATGTAGTTATTAAATGTTATTGTCATCACCCTCTTCTAAAATAAATGATTCCGTCTCCAACAGCAGCATTCTGAATTCTTACTCTGCACACTAATCCCTGCCATCCACTTGAAGACCAAAGGGTAATTTAGCAGTCACTAAGGTCCAGCTCAACATGGTCTTAATTCAATAATATAATACTACAAAAATTTGTTAGAATTGATAAAATAACTCAAGGATACTTCCAGGTTGCAAGGTAAATTTGCAACAATAACTTTTCTGTGTAATAGTAATAAAGAGAAAGTAAGTCATTCAAAATATATGAATGTAGCTTCCCATAGCAGCAACAATAACTTGAATCATTACGGCTGTAACAACAAAATTAATGAAATACTTATGAATAGCAGTGTAAATAAAATTATAAAAAGCTGTAAGGAGAGCTAAGGAGCGAAATGCATGCATGAGCGGGAAAGTATTTGCAATGAAAATATCACTTGTTGCACAAATTAATTTCTAGTTTTGGTGCAATTTAAGTAAAAATTCCAGTGGGAGTAATTTTACAGCCTGTTAATTTTTTCTGGAGTTCATTGAAGCTGTGGATCATAAAGTAAATTTTGAATATGGATATTAAAGAGATGCATTTGCACTAATGATAAAATGGTTTTGTAACCTAACACTTAACACAGTACAGAAACGGCTCTGAAAGGGATGCAGGTATTAATGGCACAATATGGGGCTCTTCCCAAATATACTATCCTATACATTCTTTCATTTAACAATGTGTAGTACCCGACAGGCACTAGGGGCTACCATGCTAATTATTAAAATGGCAACATCGTTACTTCATCCTCCCATTAATTTTGGAGGGGCCAAATTCATTGATATCTTCTTTAGTATAATTTAATTTAAACTGACAGAAGACCCCATGGAAGTAGACAGAGTGAAAACTTAAATTCAGCATGCATTAAAAGATGAACCTACAAATGCAACAGAAAGAAATTGTCTAGTCGTTGCCTGCCTAAGTTTCAGAATTAAATCAAATATATTCTATTAGGTATAGATGCTAGCTTTAGGTGTATTATTGAGGTGAACACAAGGAAATGCAAAATAAAAATAAAATTAAGAACAGTTTATTTCCATACAGTTTTATAGAGACCAAGAATGCTTTTTAAATCTTTATGATTATACAAAGAAAATGTCTGGCATGTTTTACTAGAGAAAAATCCCTCTAGCTTAAATATCAAAATAAAATAAGATGATATTTGCAATAACTCTGCCACAATAAAATGTATTTTAAGTAAACAACTAACACTAAGTAGATAAGTAGCCGAAGGATAATTTACAATTAGAAACACAGCTCTTTGATAAACAAATGAAAGAGTATTTGACCCTATTAGTACCCAAGAAAATAACTAGGAAAGCAACGACCAGAAATAGTTGATCTAACATATTGGCAAGAAGAAAAAAATGTTCACATTTGAAGCTTTTGGGGCGTTACTTTAAATACTATTTTTCCTGTATCTCCAAACACAGTTCATGGCCTTGTACTAGAACATCAAGCAGCATTCAAACCCCATGTAGTTAGGAGAAGATGCCCCTGTCAAGTATTGTATCTTAACATCTATCAAACACTCTTTTAGGCAACTGATTGTCAAGCATCAGCATGGTCTTAGAAATACTGTAATCAACATTTGGAATAAGTATGCTGAGCAATCACATGAAATTACAAAATTGTTTCTTCATGATAATCCAAGTAAAAGTGTGTCACTGGCTTCCCAGAAAATGACTTCTCAGCAAACACATGTCCACGTTTTTAATGTGGTAGTTTTAAGCAGTTCTCATTATAGGATTCTATTCTAGGGAAGTAACCTTAAACATATGGGGAACATAAGCCAGGTGTGGCATCAGCTCACACCTCTATCTTGCGTTCAAAGGCTGAGGAAAGACGAACAGCAGTACCCATGTCACCTAGAGCTACAGAGTGGCTTGGAGGCCAGGTAGGCCTACAGAACGTGAATGTGAGTCCATCGCAAAACAAATAAAAATTGGGTGGGGGGAGAGAATAAAGAAAGAAAGGACAAAGAATTTCTTCAGTATGTATTAAATAGGAATAATTAGAATGTGCCTAAAAATTAATAATAAAGAAATACTGGAAAACATGTGTTATATTAACTTGGTTGAATATTATCACCATTACACACAGACTCATGGAGAGTCAGAACTTCTCAAAGGCTCACAGTGCAATGTTAAGTCTACATAATATTCAAAGTTGTCTTTCTCCATTATGAGAATGCTATTTTAGAGCCAGTGAGACTTCGGATACCCATCCTCACTCCTCTATCCTCATTAATGCATTAGTAGGTTTTCTTAGCTATGAGAAATTAATAACATGGCAACCATCAAATGTTATTTCTTTTTTTTCAAAGTTTATTAAATTATAAAAGTTTCCATTTCCGCCCCCTCCCAACACCCTCTCACTCCCCTCACTCCCTCTCCTCCTCCCTCTCCATCCCTAAGAGCAGTCAGGGTTTCCTGCCCTGTGGGTAGTTCAAGTTTCTCCCCCCTCCCTCCAGGTCCAGGAAGGTGAGTATCCAAACAGACTGGATCCCAAAAAATCCAGTATATAAGGAGGAAACAAGTCCCAGTGTCATTGTCAATGGCTTTTCAGAAAGATTCCGGGCCAGCCACATTCAGAGAATCTGGTTGGATCACGTGCTCGTTCAGTCCCAGTCCAACTGGCCTTGGTGAATTCTCATTAGATCAGTTCCCTTGTATCAGTGGGTGATCGCACCCCTCGTGGTCCTTATTTCCTTTTTCATGTTCTTCCTCCTTCTGCTCCTCATTTGGACCTTGGGGGGCTCAGACCGGGGCTCCAATGTGGG